TCAAATCAGTTGGCATGAAGAAATTACTTTTATTCCGTCTTCAGTATAAAAAAAAGTAGCGTTAAATGTTTTAATTATTGAATTTTCTGTCGGAATGTCTGTTGACAAAGGATATATGCAAGGGAAAGAAAGTGTCCATTGTACATTGAATATGCTAATCAGTAAATAAACAGACAGACAGACAGACAGATAGATAGATAGATAGATAGATAGATAGATAGATAGATAGATATTTTTATATATCGAGAATAATATTGGGGAAAATGTATGAAAAAATAGAAAAGGTTCACTTGTGACGCGTTTGGTCCTTGAGTCCGAGGTCGTCCTGAAGAACAAAATGCGTCACAAATATACTTTTTCCACTGTGTCATACATTTTCCCTAATAGATAGATAGATAGATAGATAGATAGATATTGTTTTCGAACAAACCCTTTGCCAAGCCATTACCCGCGTAGGCACATTTGAGGTCCTTCAGTATCCAGAGAGCCAGCCTGTTGTTGATACCGCAAATATGCTAGGCGAAACTTAAGTTCACTGTCTGGAAGGGAACGCATAATCTGTCGTGATCAACAGTTGAACAACTCTGTTCGCTTGAAACCCTTCACCACAACTGATTTTAAATTCGTGTTAGCACAAGTATCGACGGCTTCAGAACAGGTTTTCCTACCTAATTTCATTCACATGTCTTGGATCAACCTGCGGTTATGTTTGTCAGGAATTTTTTAAAATTGCACCCGTAAGCTTGAAATTTGATTCAAATTCATTCTTGGCAAATTGATTCTCGTGCGGTTTGAACATGCGTGCATATGTGGAACCCCGTTAATGAATTGTAGTAAATTTCAGTGGATTTAAATGATATCAATAAAAAAAACAACAATTTTGTACTAAAACCGGCCCACAGAATATTTGGCTTATTTTTGTGCATTTTGTAGGCTGAATCTGAGTTTGTATATTCGCCTATATTAAACAATCAGCGACGTCATATGAAACGCGCGATAGTCTTTGAATTTCCAGAAATTAACATTTGTTGTCTACTACGAAGTTTGAAGCATCACTTCAGCAAATGATCAACCATATTTTCCCTCCTTAAAATAGATATTTAAGAATTGGAAAATATCTATTAACGAATAAACTTACGAGATTAATAAATGTAATTTTTTGCGGGGAGAGACGGTTATAAAAGCGATCATGTTTGTTCGCAGAATTAGTTTTTCATTTAATCTCTGACCCGGGTTGATCGTTCGTTTTCTTATACGAGCTGAATTTCTCAAACCTTAATTAATTACTCACATTTTTTTTAATATTTATTCGAGTATACTATATTACAAAAAAGACTTAGCGATGTTGACACAAAAAACATACGAATCATGTTATTGTCAACAAGTAGCAGTAGTTTCAATAACGCAAATTCACCTGTCGGCTTGGCTAACTCTTATCAGCTGCCGACTCTACAGAATTACACGCAAACATAAAACAACGTAAATACATGACACACGCATTCTTACATGTAGATGTATCTTTTCCCCTTCTGTACTAACGCAATTGATTCGGTTGTATCTTAAAGACGACAACAAAATATTTTGTGTGAAGTTGTTTTGCAAAACATATTTATAATTCATTTCTTTCAATTTGAAAGAAATGTAATACTCTATAATAAATATTTATTTAAATTTGTGGGGCTGTGTTTATTTCTTCGTTTTATCCAGGCATATTCCCCTACACATATATCCATACATATCTAAAAAAATACGGGACAATTTAGATATGAATAATATGAACAATGAATACTGAATCAATTGCTAGGTCTGCTGTTAGAACATTTTGTTCACTGGAATTCCTAGCCAATTTATTCGGTAGAATCTATCTTAACTTAAGTAATCTGTGCATATGATAGGCCACAAAAATCCTAAGCCGGCCAAGAATAGACACGAATACAATATGGGAACCACTAATACATAAAACTAGAGAAAAAACAACATTAATAAAAAATTGTAATATGAGCTCTGGTTAAAAATAATTACTGAGATATTAAGTTTATAAGTTCCAAAAATTCACTCACTACTGTCCTCAAGGACATATGGCCTAGTGAATAAAGGATTTGGTTGTGTAATCCAGAAAGTGAACCAAAGTGTCGTGAGTTTAATAACTGGCTACAGCGTAGGATATAAAAAGGACGGTTGAGTTACTAAGGGGAAATAACTCACACTAAGATATCCAAAAAAAGTATAGCCCGTGGAATTAAAACAATCTATGCCCATGGACTAAATAAAGGGTTCGGTTCGAAATTCCGATGAATATCACCTGAAGGAGGCCGGAGCGTACAACGGCCAAAACTTCGTGAATATGGAAATACAAGCAAGGAGCGATGTAAATAGTGTAAATAGTTACAATGCCTCATCTCATAAATATAGACAGATGGAGAATATATCCCGCCATTCTATAAGTCTACCATTGGCTTGTGCATTGTTTATTCCTGTTACATCTGGTCTGATGCTACTGATATGCATCTACGTTTCTTGAGAACGCCCAAAGAAGAATCTGCAATGTTTTCAGTCCTTACTTGACATCACGACATCAGTCAATTTCCCACCGCCGTAACGGGGCTTCCCTGTACGTTTTCTATAAATATTTTCACGGAAATTGTTCTGATGAGTTTTTCAATTTCGTACCTCGATTTCACAACATTAAGCTTAGAACGAGATTGCCAATTAGGTCTCACCATTTACTATTAAAATTGTTCAATGTAACCGTATGTTCTATTCTAATAGTTTCTTCTCTGACGCTTCTCCTCTGTGGAACTGCTTTCCGCTTTCTTGATTTCTTGTCAAATACGATCTTCAAAAATTTAAATGCAATGTCAATCGTCATCTTCTGTATTTTTAATCGTCTCCTTTTATTAATCATTCTACTGAATAAGGCTTTCTTTTGGTTTTTTTTCTTTTTCATTGTAACTAATATACTTGCGTCTTAGTGGCTTTATCACCTTGCTTGGAGAGTGAAGTGAATTAGAATAAAAAGAAACCATCAGAATAAGATAGATAGATAGATAGATAGATAGATAGATAGATAGATAGATAGGTCTAGGAAGATTATAAACTAGCACATTGCCTGTCAAAAATGAATTCATTATTTATACATGTAGATCAACGCTTCTATCTAGCGTCTATGCATCCTGCCGGCCATAAAAATATCACTTCCCAGTCACGTTCCGAACATCATTGTATTGTCTGTGAGGTCTGTCGAACTGAGTATTAGGGATTTCGATTACTTGCTTATCTCTGAGTTGAGCTTTCGAATCAGGCCGGAACTCGTTAATTTCATCTAAGTTTACATTAGCCTGACATCTGTTATGGCTAGAGAAAAGAAGCATAAAGAAAAAACGTTCTGTTCATTATTGTATATAATTCACTTAGAAAAATACTGGGAAATAAATATTAGAAGAGACATATGAATTGACAGTTACGTTAATGTGTTATTTTACGACTTATCATTAATTTTTGGTTATTTAAAGCCGAAACATCGCTTGAATTGTAAGGTTTGGTTTGGTTTGGTTTGTTTCATGGCATATCAACCTCAATGGTTTATTTAATGCCGACAAATTTTTTTATTGCAGATATTTTTTTTCAAAAATGTATTGCTGGTAATATTTTTTTTCATTCAAAAATTCATTTCAGTAATCATATACTACAAAATTATTTTTGATATTAAAACCTATTTTTACACTTTCATAGTGTTTTGACCCCAGTTTGGGGGTTAACTATTTGCTGGGACTCCTTAACAGGTGCTACCACCCCGGGTCAGTGTGGACCTGGGAACACCAGCAATTAAGAGAGGGTCCCAGCTCCTCAAAACCTCCTGATCAGAGGCCTTGCTGCTGGACGTAGTTTATCGTCTTACCCAGGACTCGGATATAATTTATCGTCATGCATAGGACGGTTGAATTGTAAGAATAATTTTTTTTTTTTTTTTTCATTTATTTATTATTTTTTTTTTTGTGAGTGTATAGCAATATTTTTCTTATTGAAAACAACAATGATTTTTCAGATACACGTCCTACAATTTGACTCAGATCTGGAGGAATGAGATTCATTTATACTTTTTCCAAGTGTATTTTACAGCTAAGTGAATGCAATGAACCCGACCGGAATTCGAAATTGGCAAAATCGGATTTCTCATTCCGGGTGGATATCCATTACACTACGCGTACTTACAGATTTGGTTAGAGAGAGAGAGAGAGAGTGTGTGTGTGTGTGTGTGAGAGAGAGAGAGAGAGAGAAAGACAGAGAATTAGTTGAAATGTATTTATGAATGAAAAATGCCTCAGCAGAACTTCCTTGAAACGAGTGTAATACGGTTAAGGGCGATCGTTTTTGTCTTTTATTTACGTTATCTTATGTTCACTTCAGCGAAACGATGCGAAACGGGGCTACCAACCCTGACAGGATTTAAAAAAAAAAAAAAACTGAATATTGAATTAGAATACCGCCACACTTTCTGCTACGTTAGAGTCGGAGAGGTTAGAGAGTTTGCGTTCGAACCATGAGACCCTAGTTCAAATCTCAAACCCCGACAAGCCCACCCCGGTTTTGATCGGCGTCCATATAAGCAGAGTCGCAACGAGTTGCGGGAGTTCAGTTGAGTTGAGTTGAGTTAGCAGTTCGCAGCTGAGCAGTTGGGTTGGAGTTGCAGAGTGAGACCCGCCTCACAGGAACCCGACTGAAAGATTCCACGCAAATCACGACCTCAACTTCTAACCAAGAACAATTTATTTTTGAAGAACGACTTAGACTCACACCACCAAAACAAGTTTTACGAATATCGCCTGAAGATACACCAAGAACCAGTTTCTTAAAGAACAAACAACTTAAGATGTTAAGACTCGCCTAACAAACACAAAGCGTCACGAATCCATATAGCGAGTTGGGAAGAAGACGCTGTCCTGTATTCAGCAACCAGATATAAAATATTGTTATCCTTTTTTAACACATTTGAACTTTTCGAGTTATTGCTTTATTTTCTTTTACATATACTTGTGCGATATTACCCTTGTCCGGACGCAGCTTGCATTACGGCCCGGCGACTGATTGATCTCGTCTACCTAAGATCAAATCACAACGTGGGTAGGTTAGACTAGAAATCAAAACAGTTACTTCGGTAACCAGACGTTGGAGGCGAGCTGGGAACGACAAGGCTGATACCGAATCTAACCAGATTCCCATCCGAATCAGCAAAAGGTTAGAACGTCACATTTGGTGCCGCGACCAATACCAAGTCACATTGGTCGTCACAAGACAGGATAGGACGGCGACGGCGCGGAGACAGACGGGGTGACGTCACAATTGGCGCCGCGACTAGGACAGCACAGCGGGCGCGGCCAGGCAGACGTCACGATTGGCGCAGCGACACCGGGGGACGTCACATTGTTTTTCTGTTTCTCTTGCCTTCAATTTGTCCCGTAAGTATCAGATTTTCCAATACCTTCCTCATTATATGCCAAAAGGAACTTCAGCTCCCTTTTCCTAGTGTTAAGTATTTGTTTCCTTTTTGTTTATATTTTCTCCAAATCTTCAAAGAATAAGTAGGATTAAACATTGTTTTACGAATCGTACCCCCAAAATAGTAAAAATTAACATTTATACTGTATTTATTCAACAAGTATTCGAATAAGGGGCTGTTATCCGGAACACAAAATAGAGATGAATGTATTGCAATCTGCCCAGGTACCTCTGCCTAAATGCAAGCGAAGTTACTATTCATTCAGTCAAGGCGCAATTTCTCCGATCTTTGTGAAGTATACAAAATATTGAATGGCGCCAATGAAATGGAAGTAAACAATTTCTTCACTTTCTCAAACAAGATGATGTATGGTCACATAATAGCATGAAACAGCAACTCGAAAATGGTTGCAGGGGAATAAACAAATGGAACTCTTTACCTAGTGATGTTGTGAACGCGTCAACGCTGTCTATATTCAATGACATGAGGATCCTGATCAAATAGGCTGAAATATTTGCGCTACTGTCAAGTCAAAATGTATAAAAAAAATTCTCTTAAAGGAGTTTTTCATGGAAATAGCTTTCTCAAGACCACTAACAGTTATCGCCCTTTCCGCTATTGATGGAGGCTTCCTTCATATTATTTTGTTTGAAGTAGTGAGGAAGGTCAACATCTTGATTGTGTCTATATTTTCTCATCGAGTTACATTTGCTATCAATTTAAGTTGTGGAAAGTATTTAAGTGATATGGTTTATGGTAGATGGTACAGTTCTTTGTGATTCTGCAGCGCTTGTCCGCGAGGTTATAAGAAGGGGGTCTTCGCTTAGAGCTACAGGCTTTATTCGTTCGAAAGCCATTTTAATCATTGATCTGGGAAAACATTTTATACGGCTGACAATTTAGATATTTCTGAACGGATTTTCACCATGCATGACATTCATATGAATGTCTCAAGCTGACGTGACTATTTAACACGATACGAATTCTTAGGCTAATGTTTTTGTTTTATAGCAACTTTTGTGTTTGAGAAGAACTCAACAAGCATACAGTATTTTCTATGTTCAATTTAGTATATTCTATAGTAAATACTTATTATATATTTACTTATCAGTCTTTCGTTTCTCTGATGAAAAGAATTGACAGAAACGGTGCTGTTTTAATACAGGGATATTATAATTTCTGGAATCAAGATTTTTAAGCCATATCTCTTCAAGACGTAGGTTCTCATTGCATTTCATCGATTCAATTTCTTTATTACTCGTGAACTGTTATGACTTCTTCGGAAAGTGGTTACCGGCTGTTTTGTTTATGGTTTTAGATACAGAGTAGATATTGGAAGGCAAACATGGCTAGAGAGCACAGTATACCTTGCTATTTAACCCATGGTATGGGAGAGAAGAAATAGATTTCTCAATTTTCAAATGACATTTGTGTGAAAGTGAACACAACAGATGATTTTGGAATATGAATTCAGTTCGATGATTCTAATTTCCACATTAATAACCGCGACGATATTCACTTATCTTCGAATCAGTTTTTAATCCTAGCATAGATAGATAGATAGATAGATAGATAGATAGATAATATGTTTCAAATGATGAAAACAGGCAAAGATTAATATATACATATGAATAGATAGATAGATAGATAGATAGATAGATCTGAAAATCTTCTCCTCATCCTTTCCTCTATCACTCCTATCTGATCTTGCTCCAAATCTTCTGTATCTCCTTGCGTTCTAGTGGATTCCTGCCTTGCTTGGGGTGAAACGCTTAAAAAAAAGAAATAAACAGATAGATTTATATGAAAAGATAGATAGATATGAAAAGGTAGAAATGAAAAGATAGATAGATATGAAAAAAATAGTTAGAATTACAAGATAGATAGATAATTATCGCAAGTTATTTACGTATAAATTTAATCACTTCGAATTTGTAATAAGAAAGAGAAGTTCTTCATCCTCTTTTGTTTTAGTTGAAAGCATCAAACGTTCCTTCAACCGTTTCACATCATTAGTTCGATGGAACGCCATAAGCATCAAAACATAGAGACACTCCTGATTGCTTCTTAGCAATATATGTTTGGGGTGAACTGGGTAAATTACCAGTTCATTGTGCATAAGCCGGTGTCCAGCCGATAGTTTCTCGTCCAAAGTATGAATAATAATTGGACTGCCAAAGTAGACTGTCCACTTCATTAGACTAAACTTTCTCCTCGTAAAATAACTAGACGACAACGATTAATGATTGCGTAGATAACATCAACAACGTCTAATTACAACTTACTTTTCTCAGATCCCGTTTTATATCCCGCTGTTCGCAGATCGAGGTGTGGTTCATGAAAGACTTGCCTAAGTTTTAATGGCTTGCTTCTCTTGAATAAAGTCTGCGTGAGACGAGTCCAGCAAAGTGAAATTAGTAGTTTTGTGGGTTGGCTGAGACGTCACGAAGTTTAAACTTTAAATCGACTTGTCTAGATGGCGACAGTGTAACGTAATATATATATATATATATATATATATATATATATATATATATATATATATATATTTAAACACACACATAAACTTACAAGACTCTATCCGAAAGATACCAGTAGAAAATACAAACAAAATAACCTCATTCACATATAAAAAAGATTAAAAATAATGTAAGCCTTAATAATAAAAAAGAAAAAGCCAACATTTAATAATATTAACTACGAATACGGCCACAATGTGTTAACTGTGTTCGGAAAATAAAACATCTCTATAACACTAAAAATATACACACAACGCACACACCCAATTATATTGAAGAAAATAAAATCATCCTGATGATATATATATATATATATATATATATATATATATATATTATATATATATAAAACTAGATAAAACTAGATAATACGGGCAGACCCAAGGAGGAGAGCTCAATGTAAAATTCAGAGCCGATATGTTTGAATAAAAACAGACCAGGTTGAAATGAAAAATGAAAAGAAATTCACACGTTTTTGACGGACCGCATCAAGCATATGTAAAATTAACGAAGTGAGGAAGTGAGGTGGGAGAGAAGATAAGATATGAGTGGGTTAGATGTACCATTTCAATTCCTTATTCTTAACCCCACTGTGTGTCGGCTAACGCGTATTGTCTCTAGATATAGATGGGTGAGGGAGAAGACCGACATTAAAGGAAGAAGCTACAACAACCCTAATAAATTACATTCCACGAGGTCCGTCAAAAACGTGTGAATTTCTTTTCATTTTTCATTTTAACATTTGGAAGTAAAGTCTGATGATCCAGAGCCGTGTTAAAGGGGTTGTGGTGAAATAACTTATTACATGGAACCTTAAAGTGGTCTGTTTTATTCAAACATATATATATATATATATATATATATATATATATATATATATAAATCATCTTTTGATACTGGTTAAAAGTATAGCCGATAGCACTCGGAATTATAGAACATTTGGACAGTTTCTACACACCGTGTGTCCCAAAAAATAATACACTTGTTCGAACACAAGAAAATTAAGCAAAAACTTAATCGTAGTACGTTGTCTGTCGTTTTTAATGAAACATGCATATATATATATATATATATATATATATATATATATATATATATATATTCCAAATGAGAGAATCACTAGTTGCTTACCATCCCCTGAAGAAGCACAAATTACCGAACCACGAAAGCTATTGTGTAGCGATTTCAACATGTTTTTGTTGTAATCTCTGCTTATAAAATAATAATAATTACAATATATATATATATATATATATATATATATATATATATATATATATATATATCATCATCATCATCATCATCATTCCCAAAGGAACATAATCCTGGGTTTGACGATAAACTATATCCTGCAGGAAGGCCCCTCTGATCAAGATATTGAAGGTCTTGATGAAAACTGATGTTTTCCTAAGTACACACTGACCCGAGGTGGTGGTACCCCCTGTTGGGATCCCAGCCATCGGCAAATAGTGTCTTCATTTTTGTTTGCTCATTCACGAAGTACAAAAATAAATTATAGTAAAAATATATATATCTATAACATAAAAAATCACAGGTCGTAATACACTTTTATACCTAAAGGACAATAAAATTAACAGTAACGTATAAAAATACATCTTTATAGTTACATTACCAAGAGCATATTCCTCATCTCCGAAATATATATATTTAAAATAATTTAATTTATATTTATATATCTAAAAAAAATCTATGTTTTCCATCAAAGTATAAAATTATGCACGAAATATCTGTAGTTGAACTCATAAATTTGCATACAAAATATTTAGATTTCAACATTAAATAACCAATAGTGGTTGATATGCTAAAAAATAAACAACCAAATAGCCACAGAAAGATAAACTGTGTTAAGTCGAATTAAAACTTTTCAGATTGTCGATTCTATTATCCGTGACAAAACTTCTGACCCCGAAGCAGTGGAGAGAAAAATATAGCGTTAATAGAAAAATTTGGGTGGAAGAGAAAAAATTGAGGATCAAGAAACAAAATGGTAGCCTCCACATCTAAATAACATGCAAAATTTCAACCTGAACATCCCATTGATATTCTGGAAGCTGCAAAAACTCCCTAGAATTCGATTCAGGTTTTATTCTGAATTGCACCTGGGTACGAATTAGGAGGGAGTATATCTGGCCCGTTTCGCCGGCATATAAATCGTAGAAATTTAAAGTATATCTTAATATTGATCAAGTATTGATCTTAAAATATTTAATTAAAAAAGGAATTGGAATCAATGCTAGCGAATTATTTTTGTGCAATTACCCGAATCGTGAAATATCAGGGTAAAGCCGGAACTGGGAATAAATTGCAAATCCTTGCATAAAATGATGAAGCATAAAAAATTCCTTCATAATTTGTTACAATGCCACAATATCCTTGGGATATTGGTGAAATAACCAGTTTGTTTTTTGGGGGTTTTTTATATTATAATTGAATGGGTCATTAAATAAACTTTTTTTAAAAAATTATATTGGAAAAACTATATAAAATAAAACAAGCACACTAATTGAACATTTTGTGAAATGCCTTTGAGAAAGAATCAAAAATTTAAAAAAATAATGTCATAAAACGCTCTTGGGCAAATACCATAATTTAAAAAAAAAAATCCATCCTCATAAACTGATCCGATTATGTAATGACTTTGAGAGAAAAAAAGAATTTGAAAAATAAAATGCATTGCTAAATTATCCATGTTCCGAAATACTCCTAATAAGGACTAAACAATTAATACCGGAAAGTGTTCATTAATTGCTCGTGTCGGGAAATTCTACTCAGAAAAAACAGATTATAAAAATAAAAAGTGGGTTAAGACCTACTTTTTTATTTTTATAATCTCATTGATACATTTTTTGTCATTTCACCCCAAGAAACCCCCCAGCTATGGGTTAAATAGTAGGACATGTATCCGGACACATGAAAAAAAAAAAACGCTTCCAATCCAAAATGTTTCGGCTTCAAATAACTCGAAAGATGTTGATAAACCGTAAAGATATTCCAAACGAGACGATAAAACTATTAATACGCCAGGGGATACTCAGAGTGAAGAAAACTTGGGGAAACTCTATGGAAATATAGGGACACTTAAAATACTAAAATCCCGCTGAAATGAGCCCGATGACGACTGAAGATCGGAATTGACAGGAAAGTAAGAGAGACGAAAGTTCTAACAAAGATGAAAAATTTAAAAAAAAAAAGAAGAAAAGAAAACAACATCATCATAAATTATAGCTAAATGGTATAGCATACGTCAGGCTATATGACGATTCCATGCAGGATACAAGTTCGATTCCAGTCGAGGACACATATTTTCAATGGAATTTCTCGGATATCCAGGCCGGTAAATGTTTATTATAAACAGAGGATTTATTTAAATATTTATATCTATAAAAATTATGTATAAACAGAAAATATAAATTAATTGTAGGGGTTATATATATATATATATATATATATATATATATATATATATATATATATATATATATATATATATATTATGAATTCAATAATGCTAAGATCCGCAACTTTTATATTTTAAGCTGTAGCTTGTTTTAAGCTTTAGCATTTATTTTTACTATTTGTGTGTATACACACTTACACATACGCACACAAACACACACACACACACACACACATATATATATATATATATATATATATATATATATATGACACTCAGAACCGAAGGAGAGAGAAAAGAAAGAAAAAGGAATAGTGAGAGAATATAAAGAGATAAGAAAATTGTGTAAAGAAATATAAGCAAAGGCATTCTGCACGTGTGCACATACATATACGTACATGCGTATACACACGCACACATACATACGCGTTCACACACACACACACACACACACACTCCAAGAAAAAACGTAACACTAATAAAAAGCACATAAATCATTTTTAAACTTAATATAAAAATAACGAAAAACACAAAATCGCCAGACAATCGCTGATACTTCCTGACGAGTGGACCGAACGATTGCAAAAAGTTTCGTCTAAGAAACTGTGGTGCCAGGATACTGAATATAACATCAATCAGATAAGTGATAGATTTCATATTTGCATTAATCATATATATATATATATATATATATATATATATATATATATATATATATATATAT